TGCCTGGCAAGCGCAAGGTCGTGAGTTCGGTTCCCGGTACCTGAGAAAAAACAGAAAAACCAAAAAAAACAAAAAAAACCACACTAACGTTTTCCCTAGAAGAGGACCCATGGGTCTTTTTATTTTTCACCCTAGATGACATTTATTTTTCTTCTAGCTGATTCACACTTCCCCTTTGATATCCTAAACATACATACTGATGTATTAAGCCACCACTATTAACACATCTTATATTAGATGATATGATATAAGAAAGAAGATAAATACAAAGATAACTGGTGAAAGAAGTTATATCTATGTACATATATGTATACTTACACATAGTCATATCACAAAGAAGATGACATACTCATAACTAGTACGGTATCTATGTCACAACTGGTCATGCGGCTGTAGTGAATATTTATGACTATCTTCTTTCACTAGCTAATCCATGTTCCTTTTGTTCTCAGTAAGCGCTTGAGCAGGTTATGGATCTTTGCCTTGTGGGGTGAACCAAATCTTTATTCTCGAAGTGTCTGGATAACTAGCAGTTATACTAATTGAGTTAACATAGTTTTCTCTTGGTTTTAATCACAGGTTATGGAAGTACTGAGGCAATCTAGAATACCTTTAGATTTTTAAAACACTCTTCTCCTGACTCTCTGTGTGGAAGCAGGCTAGTGACAGTCACTCTCTTTCCTGCCTGATGATTCAGTGGCATGACTCAAAGTGGTCAGATGGTTCCCCAGTGCAATCAAGCCATCACATGTACCCTAGTGTAAGTGTTTCCCATTTTCGAACTAAGACCTCTTGATCATGAGGACCTGCTGTCATAGGGATGAGATGCAAAAGTTGGTTAGAGGATCACTAGGGATAACAGTGAGAAGATCCTCTCCCCTTTCCACTGCTAGGTTCCCTGACCAATGAATCCTGGCTAAGCGAATAACAGAAATCTATTGGATATTAATTTAGAGCATATTTTCTCTCCTAAAGGGCCATAAGTGATCCTGTAAGAGTATTTCACTGTCCAGCCAGCTACTTCAGACTTATGAAGAGCATACAAAGATCAGTAATCTTCATGAATCCATTTCAGTATCTCATTTTCTGTGAAATAAGTTCCTCGGTCAGAAATGGTTTTGTGTGAAATACCATGGTCATGAATACACCATGCACGGGTTTGGTGGTAGATTGAGCAGAAACGTTGTGGACAGGGAAGTCTGTGCACATACGTAGGAAGTATCCATTCCAGTAAGACAAACACTGGCCTTTCCATGGGAGCAGTGGTCTGATATAATCAACCTGCCAATAAGTCCCTACCTGGTACCTAGGAATGGTGCCATGCAGTTAAATAGAGTTTGGTAAATGACTGTGAAGATATCAGTATGTAATAAAACAAGCATTGTTAATTTTCTACCACTTTGTTTGTAACTCTGTATTGTCTGTACTGTTCTTTTGCTATGTTGTAAAATGCTGTCTGTTAATGTTTTCCTCCTTTTATTTTTAAAATTAAAAAAAATAGATGTTTATATTGCTGAGTCTATGCATAACTTCTGTCCTTACTACCACTGCCACATTTCTCATGAGTCAGTTGGGAAAGAGAGGAGCTGCTTTGGAAGGAAGCTGACTGAAGAATTTAGAATGGCTCATCCTATCCACTTGATAATTACAATCTTCCTCTGCCGAGTTCATCCTTTAGTAAGCATTCACATGGACACCAGTGTCTTTACGTGCTGTGTCCATTTGGAGAGGTTATCAACCTACCTGTTTACCAGATTTCCTTGTCAACAATTTATCAGTTATGTTCCATCTAAATATCTGACCCATGAATCAGTGTAGACCTGTACTGACCTTTGGGGCCACACTAGAGTGGGAATGTCACAGAAATAGAGACCATAGGTATGTTAGGCCACTCACTCATGCAATTTACCTGTGCCTTTCAGACCTATTCAAGCCCAATTTCATGTAAAGCACATCTCTTTGATAATGGAGCATTATGGTTCATGCTCACATTTACTGCTTGTTGGGTCAGATAGCACTAGTAAAAGGCAGCTCAGGTCACATAGTAATTTGGTTAGCCATGGTCAGGCATTCAGTCTCTACCAATGCCCAGTAGCAACACAAAGGCTGGTTCATATAGAAGAATCATTATCCACAGAGGATGCTCTAAATACTAAGTGTTTGCACTGTGATCTACCCACAGAAGCCTGAAGAAATCTTTAAATGTCATCCCTGTCACTGACATTCTAAGCACTATTGGATTTTCTGGATCATATGGTCAAAATGGCAGGACAGCTTGCACAGCAGTCTAGATATGAAAACCCTGGGCCCTACTCAGAGTTGGCAGCTTTTTGGATCCTCTGGTAAATGTGTCAAAAAGAGCAGCTCAGGATGCCTCAGACCAGACCCCTAAAGATTCATAGAGTTTCTTTCACACTCTTTAACATTCACTGTATCCATTTATTAATGTCTACTTAGCAGAGAAGAACCCAAGAAACTGAAAGAGGATCCAGCGGAAGATGGAGGGGTTGCAAGTTGGCCACTGTCTTACAACAGTGAGATAAGCCAGCAGAGGCCACAATATGGAGAACTAAAATATGGTTGCCACTTGCCCCTGATCCTCTTGTCTTCTATAAGAACTTCTCTAAAACTTGCTTTATTCAGAATCAGGTAGGAACAGGGATTCTGGGAAATGTAGTCCAGCTCAGCCAAGCTGACAACCCACTCGCCATGTGTGGTGTCATAAAAAAACACAGTGAATAGTTTATGTTTGTTTGTGTTGTTTGATTGATAGATGAACAGATTGTATGGCGGGTTGATTACAGGGCCTTTTGCATGTTAAGTAAGTGCTCAACCACTGAGCTATGGTAGTATGGTGAATATTCAAATAAAAAATTTTAAAAGGTTGTTACAGTAAAAGCAGCATTGCACACAATCCCCCTCAAAATAGTGCCCCTCACTTCAAATACACTTATTCCATCATTATTGCCACTCTGAAGCAGTTCTGGAATCCTCTTTTGCGTCCTTTCATGGCTGCCTCAATGTGCTGAATCAGTTTAAAACATTTACAGTAATTTCTGTCAGATAAAAGCATCACAGTGTGCCCTTACCCACCTTATTCACCAGATCTGCCACTCTGTGCCTTCTGGCTCTGCTCCAAAGTCAAAATGTCCACAAAAGGTAAATGTTTTGAACCAATTCAGGACATACCGGCAGCTATGACAACATAACTAACGACACGAAGCAGAGCTTCCAGACCTGCTTCAGAAAATGGCAAGTGTACCTGAAGCGAGGGGGAAGGGTTCTGAGGTGGAATGATGGTAATGTATCTTTTCCTGTAATCATTTTTAAAATTTAAATATTTACTGTACTTTATCACATCGTGAATAATTTATGGTAGATTATTTTGAGGTAGAGAATCCTGCTTAAGAATAAGAAAAGCAGCTGGTATGTGTGAACATGATCTTTTATGAAGAACCCATGAGGCAGATTCTTTTCTCTTACCTAAAGGCCAGAGGGGGGGATATATGTGTGAGTGTGAGTGTGTGTGTGTGTGTGTGTGTGTGTGTGTGTGCTTGCACACATGTATGTCTGGCCTTGGGAAGATTATTGAGAAAGAACTGTTACCAGAAACATATTATTTTTAATAAATAAATGCTTAACAGTGTGAAAATACATTCCCAGTTTGATTGCATTATTTTTCCAGGGAGATAAAAAATTGCTTAAGCTTGAGGATTCTTTCTTTTTTGCTTTTCTTTCAAATGTTAAGTCTTCAAAGAATTCGAATTTGCTTTTTAAAAATGTGCTGCCGGCAAAGGCAGTGATATGCTCTTGCATTGTAATGAAAAGAGAGCCCCAAATGTGCTCTCCAGGCAGCCTGAAATGCTGCTCATGAAGGCAAAAGATCGCTGCTACTTTGGAATCCACTGCCCTGGCAGCATAGAGGGGCCCAGTGTGAAGGACCGGTTCCTCCTGTCTGCAGCTCACATTAGTTTTTGTTTGTTTGTTTGTTTCTGAAATCTATAGTCTCAGAGAGAGCTAACATCAACTGTGTCACTTAGTGCATGAATCTATGAGTGTCTCTTTGAAAATGGTACGATCATGGCTCTGTGAAAAGGAGTATGGACCTGGAGCTCATACCCGCATGAAGAGATTTATGGTGACTAGGATAGGATTCACATCACAGAGCCACTAAAGGAAAAGAAAGCACAGATGAAACCACAGGGAAAGGGATTTTCAAATCAACCTTTCCATGTCTCAGACCAAGTCACGATGGAAACATTTGCCCACCCAACAGCGCCAGGCTGGTTTAAAAGTCCTACCACAGAAAACAGCTGCCAGCACCTGCCTCAGACACAAGAGGAGGGAAAGAGCTCAAGCGGGGAAGAGACGCAAGTACAAAAACAATCTTACCAGCTTAGTGACAAATTGCTTGTATCAGCTGATTTGCTGAACTAAAGGATGAAAAAAGTGTCTTTGACAATGTAGTCTCTTAAATAAAATTCATTGATTGACTTAGGGAACCAGGAGTTGAGTGCGCTTTTCTTACAGACATCTGTCAAGTAACTGGTTTTATACCAAAAGAATTCTGATTTTTTTTCCCCTACCATTATAATCTTTGAAGCTTTAAATCACAAATAAAATTGGTTCTTAGGATCAGTGTGTTGGGATCACAGTAGACAAAGACCCTGAACGACTGAACAAAGGAGGGAGGAACAGAATAGCATGGAAAAGTCATGAAAAATTTCCACATGGACAGGACACACCCTCATGAAAACAAAGCTTTGGGGCTAAGACTATATTTTATTACAATGTGATAAAATACTTACTAAGCCCTGGGAGGGAATAAACAATGGTTTCCCACCCCTTTTTCATCCTCTAAAATCCAACCCCACATGTTAAACCTTCTGTTCTACTTCCAAACCTCCGTTTCCTTTCTGGAGCCTAGAAGCTTGAGCTGCTGTCAAAAGCAAGAGAGAATGTGTCGGCAGCTCTGGGTGTGCGTCTGCCTTTGTGCTCACCGAGTCTATCTGCCACCACTCACTGGCCAGCTGTGACAGGAGGCGCTTGGCTGACTTATCACAGAGGAGTCATCAGGCAGGTTATCTCTGCTAAAGCTGTGTTTCCATCTCTGAAGTTTGCTTAGTAGCTGAGAGAGAGAGAGAGAGAGAGAGAGAGAGAGAGAGAGCGAGAGAGAGGGAGAGAGAGAGAAAAGGGAGAGAAAGAGAGAGAAGAGAGAGAGATTAGGCACTTTAAAAAATCAGGCTGTGGATAATAAGATTGGCTGCATTTTCCATAAAAATTATGCAACCCAACTTCTCCTTTTTCTTTTGTATTTGATTTTCTGCCTACCAGGCTAAGGAGCAGCATGAGGTCTATTTGTCATATGTAATGTGATACTGTGGTGCTTTGCAACTTTCAAAGAACTTTGACACAAAAATGATCTCATTGGATCCTCAGATGACCCTGCGATGTGGGTAGGGTTGGTGGATACTTATCACCACTTCCCATATGAAGAAAGAAGGGTAAATAGGTTATATAATATCACCAAGGTCACTTTGCACTTCGGTGGTGGAAAAAGATTCCAAAAGAAGCATTTAACTTCTAAAACAGGTATTGGTTTATTCGTTGTTAGTCTTTTCCATCACACCTCTATGAAGGAAGATTGTACATATCTTCTTAATTAAAGGGTTTTCAGGTTAAATATTTGCACAAGTAGTCAGTTTGGTAGTCTCAGTACCTAAGATTTTCAGGTGACAATCTTTTCTATATTTCTATATTCTTTTTTTCTACAGCTTTATCATTTTTCTACCCAGAATTTTTTAGCAGTCATAACGGTATTAATATTCTCTTCTATTTCTTTCTTTTCATCTTCTTTCACCTTTTTCTCCTTTTCTGTCTCTCCCTCACCCTCTTTATTTTTTTCTTTTCTTCTTTTTGTTTGATTGTATTACTAAGTCATACATAACTGAAACATAAGAGAACAAAGTTTGAGATGCTACGCTATAATTTTAGACAATGTTTATGGATTTCTGCTGTTTTGTTGGTAAAATTGTTTTTTCTAAGATAATGATTTTCTGTAGAAGTGAGTCATACAGAAGGGAAATGTGGCTTTTATACTAATCCAAAAAAGAAGTGAAAAAATTGAGCTACCCAATTTGTACGTTTTCGTACTTTAAGTTGCCGGTGATATGACCAAAACCAAGTCTTCTGTCTACAAGTCACATATTTAATGATTTTAGGGGCTGGGGATTTAGCTCAGTGGCACAGTGCCTGCCAGGTAAGTGCAGGGTCATGAGTTTGATTCCTGATACCGGAAAAAAAACAAAACAAAACAAAAAAAAAACAACAAAAAAAAAAGATTTTATTTCTTAGTAATATGATGGGTCTCACGATAAGCCAATTTTCATATGAAATGCCAAGACAGAATATCAAAATTTAGGGAAGAAAGAAACCTGGTTCTAATAAGAGGCTCTTTTCCTCATTGTTACTAATACCTGATAACTCCTCACATCAATGGCATTTTTAAAATAAGTCAAATCTAATAGTCAGTGGAACAATAGTAAGGAAAAAAAGGGACGTCATTCCAGCCCTCTGTTAATCTGGTTGCCCTTGAGAGGCTGAATGCCAAGAGGTGACAGGTGTTTTGCACCTAGATGCTGTGGACAAAGGTCTTTCCCAGGACAATGGCTTTTCTTTAGCTCAAGAGCAGTGGGTGGCTCCGTAGACATACATGCTCTGAACACAGTGCATAATTAGTAATCTTCATCAACCATTTCTACTTCTGTCCCCTTATCACCAACACAATTGTAGCAAGCTAGATTTTTAGTAAACTTTAATTGCAAGTTTAATTCGATATTCATTTATCAGTAAAAGAAGCAGTTTGCCGAACTGATTATGCACATCTAAAATGATGCTTCTGAAGATAGAAATAAAATTCCCACCAGGCATAAGTAGGGTTTTCAAAAGAAAAGTATCAGTCTCTTGGTGTTGGGGGATGGTGCTTCTAGTCTTCCACCTTTAATATGAAAATGAGTATTCATGTGAGATGGCTTTTGACTACCTATCGGAAAAATACATATCAAGTAACAAATGTATAATTTATGGAACTGATTGCTTTAAGCAGAGAAGCTTAAAAATGAGATTTTGCAACTCAGGTCATTCTCTAGGGGAGGCAAACATATGGTAATTATTCAGAATTGAAACCTGCCTGTGAAATATACAACAAAGAGGAAAAGGGACTTAGAGATAGGTCAGAGAAGCAAAACGTTCCGCCACTCTCAGAAATGTTTTCTTATCTCGATCCGCAGGAAGGGCTGAAATGGTGGTTAATAGTTCTGAACGCTACTCAGATGATGAGACTTGCACAGTAGTGGCTTTCTCTTGGGACTGTACACTGCTGCTCTGTGGTACTCTCCTGGGGGGATGGATGAATGGTTGCATCTGTAGGAGTTGAGAAATGCCCTCTAACCAGGATCAGGACATGAAGGGACAATGGCTCAATTTCATTTATGACTTTGATGCACTCTGATAAAGATTTCATAGATGAAATGGATCCTTTAAGAGACTTAAGAACAAAAATCTAACAATGAAGATAAATAACATAAAATCATCACTGTCAGACTTTGTGTCCAGAACAACTGGATTATAAACATCAAGTCAGGTGTTGTCAGCAGCCCAAGGTATGCAAGGAAATTCTTCTATAAAGGTATTTGCCCTAATGTTCTGAAATGCAATCTGAGACTGATTAGTACAGAAGTGTACTGAATGTTCTTAATGGCCAGGGTAAGGGTAAAAGGACAAGGGTAGTCTCTGAAGTAGCGCTAAAGCCCTTCATTGTCATCCAGGAAATGGTGATTTGGAAAAACAAATCATCAAAGTGTTCACATTAATGTCATAACAAATAAAACTGAATATGATAATAAGTAACCCATATACTCATTCAAGGATGAGGAGCTCCAAGAAGAGAGATGCTGGACTTTAAAATGCTCTATAAGCCGGGTGTGGTGGCGCATGTCTGTAATCCCAGCATTCGGGAGGCTGAAGCAGGTGGATCTTTGTGAGTCCGAGACCAGCCTGGGCTACAAAGTGAGCTCAAGGCCAGTTCAAACTGCAGAGTGAGACCCTGTTTCCAAAAGACAAAAATAAAATGAAATAAAATGCTTTATGAACTAGGAGAAATGCATCCTTAACTGGCATCTTATTTTCTGAGTTTTGTTGGTTTGTTTTTAGTATTGATTTGAATGTCTCCTTTGGAAGAGATAAAATTTTTCCAATTTAAAAAGAAAGAGGACTGGCCATTAAGAGTAGTGTGGTAGATTGACAACTGGTAGTCAGCTTGTAATAGCCAGCTGAACTGAACCAGTGTGGTGCTGGGTGTGGGAGGCCCACCCGAGGGCTGTTGCTAACAAAATAAAAAGAACTGGAGAAGAAGAGAGGCTGTAGGAAGCTGTTAGTTCTCTTAGAGGAGTTTGTCGTGCTGGCTTTCCTGATGAACTTGGCTGTTCTCATCATCGAAGGAGCTCAGGACCTTACTGTCACTGAAAATGGTTATGGCTCGCTGGGGGAGCTCTGGTCCCCACTTTGAGCATCACTTCCTGGCTCTGGAAGGGAAGACAGTGCACTGCTCAGTCTCCTGGAAAAACTTGTCACGTTGGCTTTCCTGATGGGAACTTGCCTATTTTCATCATCAGAGAAGCTTGGGACTTCACTGTTGCTGTGGATCACTGTGGTACTTTTTAGGGGAGCTCTGGTTCTTACTTTGAGAGTCATTTCCTGGCTCCAGTTCAGATCTCCCAGCCCGCTGGCACAGATCCTTCATACTGCTGGCATAGACTTTCTAGCTTCCACCACTGACCTTTTGGCCTTCCCAGAGCAAATCTGTGAAACAAGCCTTCATGAAGCATTGTTGTGGGCCCTTGGCCTCCAGTTGGACTCCTGGGGGGCATTGTTATGGGCTCTAGGTCTTCAGCTACACTCACGCAGGCCATTGCTGTGGGATTCAGGACCTCAGCTGGATTCTTCTGATCCTACTGTATGGACAGATTTCCTGTGCTCTCTTGTATATGACTCTTTGAGTGGCTATTATAAAATGATATTATAAATTGTGTGTCCTATATTGTATTGTGCTCCTTGCAAAACCTGACTAAAACAAGTAGAATAGATAACATACCGTAGAATTCTATGTACATGTATTAAGTACTAGCTATAAGCCTCAACTTGGAAAAATCTCAAAAGTGTAAAATTGAGCAAAAACAAGGTAGAGAAATATGCACATGGTTCCATCTATATAAATTTCAAAAGCAGACAAAATTAAAATGTCTATTTTTAGGAATCCATCCATACATGGTATTGCTATAAAGAAAAACAAGGAACAACTAACATAAAAATCAGATTGCTGTTTTTATGAAGAGGGAGTAAAAGAGAGGGCAGTGTCATCAATGTGGGCAGAGGACAACACAAATACTGGTAGTGTCCTATGAGCTGCTGTCAGGTGCTTGAGCGTTCTTAGTATCCTCTGACAAAGATATAAATGTTATCAAATGTTCACTTAAATGTATGATTTATGAGTTTGATTTTTTTAACATATGAGTCAATTCTTGTAATTTCATTTCTTGAAATCTGAACATTTCTATCTTCCAAGATCCTTCCAAGATCCTACGAAGACACCCAAGATGTAGGGTTTCCAGATTTACAGGCAAGGTGTCCGTAGAGCAAAAATACATCAATAAAGTAAAATAAAAATCAGGCAAACAACTAGGGTGAGTTTGAACCTTGCAGAGTTCTGATTTAAAGAATTTGGGACTCATCCACCCCAATTGCTCCACTACAAGGTTGCTCACCTCATGTATACCTCGTCTAGGACTACTTTGCTTGGTCCATTTCATCATGATAAAATCCATCCGCCTACTCCAGAGACGTCTACTTTAGAATCATGGCTTTAAAATTCACTGGAACATATTATCAAGGACAGAGAGAATCAGATAAGACCACAGAATGAATGACAAAGGAAGAGGAGGTGTATTTCATGACATAAACAGGATCTGAAAAGCCTCTGAAACTTTATGTATGTCTGACTCATGATATCAACTCTCTCTTCCTTACTTTTCTGAAACAATCCACAACTGTCAAGCGCTTTCTCTTGTTTTTATTCTCAGTCCTTGCTGATGCCTGAAAACTCACCATGTCCAGGTAGCTTTGGTAGAAAGTCAGAGAGATCTGAGAAAAGACAGAGAACATCACTATAGCCAGGTTCCCTCAGATACTTTGGCTGACGGAGCTGTTCTCCTCTGTAGGAAGTACACCTTCACCTGCATTTGCATTTGTCTTCACAGGAAGTTGCTCTTTGTTTCCCAGTGCTAACTCTTGTTTTGTCCCTGAAGCTGCAAACTAGACCATGATTTTCTATCTACAACCCACTCCATCTTCACGTGTGAACCTTGAGAGACAGGAAAAAGCCAACAGATCCTTGCACCTGTTCCAACAACACTTCTAGGACCAAAGGAATGAACCATGTTTCGATTGAGGTATAAACCAGAACATTCTACAGGGCAGCAGGAGGTCTGTAGTTTGTAACAATTTATTATATACTTTATAAAGAAGTAGATGAAAAGAGTTCAAAGACTACCAACTTCCTGTCTCTCTGTCTCTGTCTATCTGTCTCTCTCTCTTTCTCATACACAGAGTGATAAATATTTAAGGAGATGGAAATACTAATTATACTAATTTGGTCATAAAACATTGTATAGGTGCATTCTGTACCTCATAAATGCATACAATTTTTAAAAGGTACAAAAAGTGATAGCTTTCCTAAAAACTTCTTCTTTTAGGTTCTCACTTTTCTATTCTGAAATAATGTTCATAGACAGATGCTGTCACTACGGTAGGCCGTACATTAGATCTTCATTCTCAAAAGCCACAGAGACGTCACTCATTTTTATTTAGATAACAATTTCTTTAAGCAGAATTAGTTCTCATTTCAAAGTTATTCCCTTAAATTTATTTATTTATTCATTTTTATTTTAAAGAAAATAAAAAATAATAAGAAAAAAAACATTAGAAACGATACAAAATTTTAGTAAACAAGATGGTAGGAATTCAGCTATGGTTGTTAAACTGCATATTGTTGTCTTCAGATTAGTTGTTCAGGTTACCAGGTATAAGCATGCAAAATTGGTCAAAAAATTAAAAGAAATTAAAAAGAAGAAACAGGAAGGAAAAAATATATATGTAAATACACAGAATAGGTGGGATAATTGTACTGCTGATTTCTACTGGTCTATTGAAAGGAACAGTTAGTGCTCAATTTCTTTTCCTTCTTTTTAATTTTTTTTGATCCATTTTGTCTGCTTATATCTGGTAATCTGAACATCTAATTTGAAGAGATGTCGCTCTTAGCAGCTTGTTTCTATGAGTTTTGAGCCTACCAGTCTTTATTAGCTATTTGTTACACTATTTGGTGATGTTAACAACCTATTCACAGCTGATTTGCTAACTTTTCTAGGGAAGCAGCCTTCACTCTGTCCTCTGAGGAACTGTCTCTGTGTGTTTAAGAAGCAGCAGAAACTCGATGGCATAAGAGTGGACCTCATTTCCGGCTGTGCTGGGGCATTATGCTTAGTAGCTTCCACCTTCCTGGTACTTCTCTCCTGGGCTGGGACCCCGAGTGCCCCACACCTGTGCCTGATGCCTCTGGGAAGCCTAGATGTGGATGGGAGGTGGGGTGAGTGGGAGTCCGGCTTTCCTCCTCCCTTCCGCACATGAATGGACACACACCTGTTTTGTTTAGAGCTGTCTTGATTGACCTGAAGGGAAGGAGTAGAACTGACTTTGTGTTTAATCTTCTATCTTTCTTCCAACACAATTATTTGAAATATAACTTTAAAAAGTGCAACTCTCCTATAAGTTTCTTGAAATGTTTTTTACAGAAAGATTTGTTTCTTTAACTAATTTTTAAGCATTTATTGATCGATCCACCCCCAAAAAATCGATGAACAGGTCAGAAGTTTTAAATTTTAAATATCTTGAAAAGCTGCAGCCCTTGTTAAATTTTTTCATAAGACAATTCATAGAACGTTACTGAGAAGCAAACATATTCTTAGAAAGCTTCTCATTCCAGACTCAACTGGGTCAGCCCTGAGGTTATTCTGGGAGCTGACTACTTTATTCACTCTCTGAATCAGATTCTGACACATATTTTTTATAAGTTCTTGGTCTTTTTTTTGAAAACTGACAGGCCTATGGAAAAGTTAATAGCTTGGTGAATATAATGTGCTTATGTCTGCAAACAATAGAGATATTAAAAAGGTGCCCTATTTTTTACTATGAATCTTCCGAGGAGCATTTAAAATGTGAACCCAAATCTGACATAAAAAAGCGCAAGAGATTGTGGCACTTTGATCTTCATTTTCACTTTGTCATGCAATGTTTTAATTTTCTTTGAGACAAAACTGCTTAGATCTCAGGCTCAGATTATATATTATACAAAGGGATCTATAGAATTAAAGAGATGGAACAAGGTTCTTGGGAAAATGTAGCTTCTGTGAAATATAGGCATATTTGATCAAAATGACTATTTCTACATTATTTCTGGACTAATTTAAAGGTAAAGCTGAGGATGGTTGGTGTGTGAACGACCCTAATGCCTTCTATGAATGCTTTATAGATGCAAATCAGATGATATCATTTAAGGAGATATGAACAGGACTCAATAATTATCCTAAATAATAGGATTATTTTGTCACTAATAATTTCTTTATATTCTACAGTTCTTTCAGGGATGTTTCAATTTATGTTGAGAAAATAGCTGTCAAACTACAACAATTTCCTCATAGTTCATAAAACAATATGTCATCTTCAAATTAAAAATGCATACTTCATTTTGCAGCACGAAAAGTCCCATTCCTTGGACTGTTACCCCATCTGTCCACCACTTCTCTGAAAATTTTCCACAGGAAGCCCCAATTCACACCAATAATTTATGAAGGAGTGCACAGATTCATGGAAAGAACAGAAACTCTTCATGTTAACAGATTTTGACGTAATCAGTGGGGGTGGGGGCAGACTCTCTCCCTCCCAGAAGGCTATGCTTGGAATCCTCTTCTCCATTTGTGCATGGCTGCTACCGTCTTGTCCCGTTTAAAGGTCACCCTGGAATGATCTTTCTGACCACCTAATCTAATTGCATGTTTGATTATATAATCGTCCATGCAGCACTTATCATTGCTTGATACTTCGGGGTTCGGTTTGTTCCTTGGCAATCTCCTTGCACTTGCAAAGCGTGAACTTTGCTCCATTCATGCTATAATCCTGCACCCAGAATGGTGTGTGACAAGTGTTATGATTTGAGCCATTTCCCAAAAAGCTTTGTTGCTGACCTAACCCCCACTATCTCAGAATAGCCTTGTTTAGAATAGCCTTTGCAGATATAATTAGTTAAAATATGGTTATAAGAAAAAGATGTGCCCATAATCCCCGAAGATAACTACTTTTATAAGAAATGGAGAGAGAAACACACAAAAGAGCACTATATGAATCACAGACATCTGGAGAGGCTGGTCATGTAGAAAGCAGCCAGAGAGTGGAGTCTTACTGCCACTACCGAGGCATGCCCGTGGCTATAGGAAGTTTGAAGAGACAAAAAAGGCTCCTTTCCCCAAAGCTTCCACAGAGCAAGGTCCTGTCAACACCTCAATTCTCTCTTCACATTCTGAGCACAGATATTCTCCCCTTGAACCAGCAATCAAATATCTGCCTTAAAAATGAAGCCAAAGAAAAAATAATGTGTTAGTAAGAAAAACACACTGTAAACAGACCACCATTCTGTTGTAGTTTGTTACTTTGGCTTAAGATAATATGGCTAGTGTTTTATCAGGAAGATGTGTAGGACAAAGATTTTTGCCATAATTTTGTGCTCATTATTTCAGTAAATTTGCAAGTCTCAGCTGGCATCATTCAATAATTTTAAAAT